TCCTCCGCCCTTTCTCTTCTGCGCCGCTCTGCAAGCTTCCATTTTTAAGTGCGGAATTCCGAAATCAATGAGGAGGCCTTGTTTCAAGCATGATGCACTTTTAGGGCACATGTAATTAGTGAGAGAGCAGTTCCTTTGTTTGAGATGTATCGCGATTGGTTCTTTGATGAACAAAGAACAAATTCCAGCGAAAAGGTAAAAATTCCGGCTCATCCCATGTTGTAGAAAAAAATCTAAAGGACAAAGTACAATGAGCTTTCGCAACATTGGTTGACATTCCATGCATATCAATTTAATCTTAGGCCAATGAATTTCATAAAGTTGCTCAAAAAGGGCTGGTTAGGGATCAAATTGAAAAATATTGATCCAATTAAATCAATTGGAAAAACGATCAAATTATTTATTAAAACGTTTCGTCCATCCACTCAAAATTTTGTAAGATCTCCGGGGCACATAATTCAATGGACGAAATTTCTCCCAGATTAAGGAAAATGGAAGTTCAATCTTCTTGAAAAAACTTTTTTGAGTTACAAAGACTTTTTATACTTGAAACTTATAGATCATGTTAAAAAAATTTTGAAATTCTCAAAAGTATCAAAAACTTTTTTGGCATTCCCGTAGGCCATTGAACCGTATTGCATTGTTGATCCCCAAGATATTAATTGCAGCTTCTTATCAGCTGTTTTAAAACCCAAAACATAAACATCTTGGATAAAAATAAATTGTATAGGATCTTCGAAACTCACTCAAGTCTAGCCAGGATCTCCCTCACGGCTGCTTTTTGTTTCTTATCACTTTCGATCATGTCGTTAACATCATATCCCTTGGATCGGAGATGTTGTAGCAGCTGTTGGGTCGTCTTGTGCGGGTGTTTCTGCTTTTCCCAGTCCAACCGGGTCAATTTTTGCAGAACAACTGCTGTGCGGAACTGCTGAAAAGATAGGATTAACCTGTTTCATAGTCTCACGAAAAAATTTTGAGTTTTTTCTTGGGAGGAGGGGAGGAAAGGAGAGA